ATATATATAATATATATATATATATTATATATATATATATTATAATATATATATATTATATATATATATATTATAATATATATAAATATATATATATATATATTATAATATATATATATATTATATATATATATATATATATATATATATATATATATATATATATATATATATATATATACATTTATTATATATTGTATATATAATCGACTCTCCCGTCGAGATTAGACGTATGAGGGTCAAGCAGATCAGTTTGCAGGAAACCGACAGCCCGACAACGACACATGAGATTTGATTATAGTGGTGAAGGCCTCGTTCAGGACCATCCACACTTTTTGAAGGGACGAATATAAGGTTCCCAAACGACCCTCCGCAGGTTTTTAATTCAGAGTTCTCCTTCTCCAAGACCAGTTGCCATTCTGACCGCGTGGGACGGTTGGTAGTTTCCTGCAATTAGAAATTCATTGTGGAATTCACTTGACTCACTTCTAGCAGTTTACTACTCCTACGCGTCGCTGGCGAATCTTATATGTGTTGTTCATGTTCCATGGATTATCGTTCATTACCTACCTTCATGTGATTATTCTATCCATTAACATTCCCTAGGTTACAAAATATAGAATAACTTTTGACAATGAAATGAATGTTTATTTTCCTTCTTAGGAAATCACTTTAATACAACTAGTTCATATTGCAAATTGGAAATAATTTAAAAAAAAATAACAGACTGCTTCCAACACTATTTCCAAATGACGTTTACTGAACATGAAAGAATTAAAAGTCCCAATTTCTGGCCTATTGATCTATCTTCTGCAATGGGATTTGCTCAGTGTTAAGCCTATATTTAAACGGAGAAAGAAGACTCATGCTTCAGGCTAAAGGTTGTTCGCGTGCAATGGTCAATGACTTTAACAAATACATTGTAAATTATACAATTTAAATGTTGAATAGAAATACGAATCGACAGTATGCTACTTTTTAAATTTGGATTGACAAAAAATACGTAAAATTACTCCCAACATAGTTGACATTGGTGCCACAGAGAAAGTGATGTTTGTTTATTGAACGCCTCAGGGGAATCACTTTTTAGAAATTAGTCATTAGTGAAGATGATTGAATCTGACTAATTCTCGACAAATATAAAAAAAAACAAAATTGCTAATGGCGACAGCAGGAATATAATTGATGTACGTAATTTATAATTCAGATTGTTCCTCCCTTAGTTAGCACGACTGATACGCTTTACCAATAGCTTTTAAATAATGGACTATTCCGTTTTGATCACGCGGAAACAACGGAAAAGATATATCAGAGAAGCTAGAAGAGAAGTGAAAAAAAGGATAGAAATGAAAGACGTATTTAACGTCTGCTTCAGTGAAATGGCAAAGTTGTCAATTTGAATTCTTGTCATCTACATCCCTCCTTCTTAAAATAGCGGCCACACAATATTTTATAAAAGTTGTTAAACTTAAATCTTCAACGATGCGATAGGGAGATTTCTACAAACACGTTTATTGTGGTGTCCCCCCTCTAAAGTGTCTATGTTAGACTCTTCCGCCTAATATAATATTAGTTGGGCAGGAGGCTTCGGGAAACAGTGAACAATAAATAGATTGAGCGCTAGTTCATTTAATACCCTCTGACTAGTCGTGTAATACTCTTCTGGTGTACTTACAGTTTAATATACGAAATATGTGCAAACTTGGTTTTTGTTATTACTTAACACTTTACTTGATCACAACAACGTTATTTTTCGTAGAACACGTTACAGGCTTATTCAATCATTAACTTAAGATTCATTAAAAAGATACAAATAGGAAAAGTTTTTAAAGTTATTTCAAGTTACTTTCAATATTCCATTGTGACACCATTTAGGGTTACTAGAAGGAGAAAAGAAAAAGGAAAGAAAAAAAAAAGAAAGGCGAGAATTAAAATTAGGTGATAAGAAGCCATCACGAAAAGGACACTAAGCGATGTTATTTTTCTGACAAGGAAAAGTGGTAAAATTTTTATTTCCTATTGTCGAGAAGAAAAAAAAAGAAGATACTGAAATTAATCTGATTTAATTTACGGGGCGGGTGGAAATTCCAGGTTGGCCAAATAACCTCAGATACAGAATTCTAAATAGATAAACATTTAACTGTGTCGCAAGAATGCCCATTTGAGCAGAATTCTAAAGAGATAAAAATTAAATAAGTCATCCGCTGACCGAGAAACAAAACTGTCCGTTGACCACACAAGGGTTGCCAAAACAAAAGACCAAACCATTGGTTATCTAAGGGAAAGTCGTTTGAAAAAGCATCTGTTTTGTGTTGAAATTCGGCTATGACAGTGAAACTATTTTATCGGATCAGAAATTGGCACCAAGAATGAAAATACGTCTAATTGACCACCCACATGTTTGGCGAAGGCCTCAGGTGATAAAGTCCAAGTGACATTTGGCTCAGATAAGAGATCAAGGGTTCGCTGTCGGGCAGAAGGAAAGAAAGAGAAAGAAAAGAAAAAGAAAAAAAGAGAAAGGAAGATATTTTTTTCTTTGAGCAAGATTTTTTTAAACCGAGGCTAGTCTATTCCCACCCACGCTGCTGAGCGCCCATTGGCTGAGTGGTGGCAGAAGTATTGGGCGGAGGTGATCATGTGAGGCAGGAGGGGAGGCCTGCTGTCACCCATTGAGAGGATAGGTGTGAGATGCCACTGTGAGAGAGGGAAAACCCGTTGACACCCTCTGAGTGAATGATGAGATACCAATATGAGAACAGAAGAAGGTGGGGGGACGAAGAGACTTCCAAAAATGGAAATTAATAAAATTTTCCTGACCGAAAACAAAGAAGTGGATTGTGGGTTTGGAATTACCAAGGAACCTCAAACCCCGACAAGCCCACCCCGGTTTTGGTCGGCGTCCATATAAGCAAAGTCGCAGCGAGCGAAAATCAGTTTTCCTGTTCCAGTTCCAGTTAAGTTCCAGTTAGTTGCAGTGAGCTGAGAGCTCTGAAGACCCGCCTCACAGAGCTGACTAAGATTCACGCAAATTCCGAACTCATCTTCTAATCAAGAACAATTTATTTTTGAAGAACGACTTAGACTCACGCCACCAAAACAAGTTTTACGAATTTCGCCTCAAGACACACCAAGAACAAGTTTCTTAAAAGAACAAACAACTTGAGATGTTAAGACTCGCCAAACAAACACAAAGTGTCACGAATCCATATAGCGGGTTTGGGGAAGAAGAAATCAGATATAAAGTATTGTTATCCCTTTTTTTAACACATTTGTACTTTTCGAGTTTATATTTTATTTTCTTTTACACATACTTGTGAGATATCACCCTTATTCGAACTCAGCTTGCAGTACTGCCCAGCGACTGATTGATTTCGTCTGCCTAGATCAATTCACAACGTGGGTAGGTTAGACTAGAAATCAAAGCAGTTACTTCGATAACCAGACGTTGGAAGCGAGCTGGGAACGACGAGGCTGATACCGAATCTAACCAGATTCCCATCCGAATCACCAAAAGGTTAGAACGTCATATTTGGTGCCGCGACCAATACCAATCCAGTTGGTCGTCACAAGACAGGATAGCACGACTGACGGAGACAGGCGGACGTCACGTTTGGAGCGGCGACACCGAGTGGGGGGGGGCACGTCACACCATACAGAAGATTTAAATTAGCTTCAGTTAGAAACAGGTGATCGCAGTCAAATCAGAATTTCTTCTTGGCATATGACCATACGATTTTTTTTCCAATGAAGATCGCTGAAGGAAATTGAAAAAAAAATACAATTTATCATTTTTTATTATTATTTAGAGCGAATATTTTGTTCGGAAAGCAAAATCGGAGTTCCGAGATCGAATTACATCAGAGTTCGTTGTTTTCATCTACTTAGGCGAATGAATAAAAGCATGTCTTCTGTCCCCTGACTCGCCGGCTATGGGGAAATAGATGTCAGACTGAGTTCTCGTGTCTAGGTTGGTATCCAGTCTAGGAGAAGGAAAACGCTGAATTCAATCTTGCCTGGTGAAGGCTGGTCTTTCTCATGCTATCTTGCCCAATACACAACACTGCTGTTACAGTTACAGTACATGTGGAGGCCCCTACGACCGTAATGAGTTAGAGGATTCGTGATCAGGATTATTTTTCTATTATTCTTCTCTCTTCTAAACTATAGCCTTAATTCGTTGCCTCGGCATCTGTGGGCTCGCCTGTATAGCATAAAGCTAGACTATGCTAGATGTTCTTGTAGAGGTTGAAGTAGCAAGTAGGTTTTTTACACGGTAAAAATGCCTGCACCAACAAAACAATAATGATATCAAGAAATGCGTATATCTGTTCCTGTATTCTAATTCCTGAGAGCGAATATATTATGCATAGTGCTTGTAAAATTTGTAACGATGATGCAACCAAAATGTTAGATTTGTTTTTTAAATGAACATGTATTTGTTTTTTTTTCTTCCATGTTGACGGGCTTGTCGGCTTTTTTTTTAAATTCTTGGTTAATAATCTTTTCTAGTAAAGTAAGCAATGTGAACAAACAATATGAAATCATCGTCTTTCTGGCTTCAACCAAAAATACACGAGAAAAAATAGTTAGTTATTTTTTTCCTGAACGATTTAAACAAAGCTCGCGCGCAATACTAGAGAAATTTTCCGCTCCGTTTTGAAAGTGCCGATTGCTTCACCAATCACTGTGCTTACATATTTATTCAGACTTTTTTTATTTTTGTGTTTCCTTTTTTTTTTTTTTACTTTTTTGTTTTGTTTTTGTTTTGTTTTTACTCGGTCCGACTTCATCAATTTGCTTTTCGTTTCATGCTATGTTTCACCGCATCTGCACACTCAAAAGAAAGTCAAAGAAGAATAGAAAGAAAAAAAAAACAGTTTCTTATCTATTTTGTGTGCAAGTTCATTTTTGTTCCGTCTTAAAGCTTGGCACCTGCTCAGGCCTTAAGTTACAAACGAAATCACGAACGCCATAAAAAAACGAGAAATAAAAAGTAAAGAATGCTTTCTTTTCATTCCTTTTTTATTCATCCTTCCTTCCACAAAGATGAAACTAATTCTATAGACGTCGACTTAATGAAGCAACATGCTTATTGCTTTTCCCGCCCTCTTTTCGTCCGCCATTTTCTTTATTTACGAACCCTCGTAGTCTTTCTTGCCTTTGCTAATATTTCTTATTGTATAAAGTTCTTTACTGGAATGTTTTGTGTTGATTTCACAGGCGTTAAATTTCATCTGATCGAGAATGAACAAGGAAAAAAGCAAAAATAAATTAAAATGAAAAACAAAATCAAAACGTAAATAATAAGATGCATGAAATTTATAAAATCGTTCATTTTGTGTTGAGAATTACTCTTGTTTTTAGGAAGGTTATGATTTTGACATATTCATGGCAGCCTCAGCTTCGGCTGGTTCCTTCATTCGCGTATATTAATAAAAGCTGGGCGATTTATTTTTAAACAGTTAAATGTGGCACAGAAAACCGAAGCCACATTGGAATAGCAAAGCTGTTTTCTATAAGTTGAATAAAGTGTTGAGAAACAAATAGAAAAGCATCGTAAAATAAAAAGTGAAAATGTTATGTAATATCAGGCATCATATATGGCTGTGGGCGCTGGACTGTTTGCTCACAGATGAAGACAAGAATTGAGGCAACAGATGTGGTTCTGTAGAAGAATTCTGAGAATAACAGAGAGAGCATGGAATATGGGGAAAAAGTACTTATCTCTATCTATAAAAGGCATGATGTGTGTGTGTGTGTGTGTGTGTGTGTGTGTAACGAATGCACGGCCGTAATTTTCGACGGATTTGCACCACAATTTACACGCACATGCTCCAAGTTAGTGGGTAGGCTAAGACCGACTTTGCATTTCCCAACTCACGTCGATAGTGAAAATAACCGATTTTCATGCTTCTACGGCAGTTTTCATGTAGTTTGCGGCCATTTTCTACTGGCCAGAGTGAGAGCCAATAGCTGGCTGCCCCGAATAGGCAGGAAGATTCTATTGGCCAGCGTGAGAGCCAACAGCTGACTCACACGAATGTTAACTAACATGCTAGCATGCAAAAAAGTCGATAGCTGCATTCGTCAAAAGTGGGAAAATTTAAATCTGCATGGCACTTTACTCCAATTGGCTCATTCGCTTGCTTAAACTCAACGTTGATTCTGATTCCGCAGAACTGGGTTGGGTGTGAAAAAGTATTTGTTATTAACATTCATTTTTCATTCGGTTTTTCCAGTTACGAGTCCTTTTTTAAAGCTGATCGTTTTGTGTTCATTTTGTTTAGTTCTTTTTTCATAACAGATTTAATGTTTAGTAAATAGCGTAGAAAAAATTCGCAGTGTGAGATAGGCAAGAAGTAAGGCATGTAGCAACGTCAGCACGGCAAAGGGCACTCCTTTAAAGGCAAGGAAGGGCATAACTATTTAAAGTCAAGTGATAGCGATTGCTGTATGAGTAGTACGATTTTTGAATCAAGCACGGGCAACGCATGGCCATGCTGCTAGTAATTTGAATAATAAAGAAACAGTTAAAACTTCTAAGACGTATAATGAGAAAATAATTCTTGGGAATTTTGACACAGGACATATTGAAGGCAGGATGGATAGAGGAGAAACAGTGGTCCATCGACCTAATGAGCTTGTACAAATATATTGCAGAACAAGGAAGAGGAGGAATAGTAAAAAGAAACGTTGCTAAAAGCTACGAGTGACGGGAAGATCTAGAGAACCATGAATGTCCACGTTACATAGACGAATATTTTAAGTTAAATAATTATATTTTTTAAAGTTGGTAATTCGATGATTACTTAATAATATTGAGGAGAAAAATTAAGTAAAGGGTGAAGGAGGCGGAGGCGGCAGCGAAGAAGAATTGACGGGGAGGAATCGGTGGCGAAGAAGAAGAATTAAGAAGAGTAGTCGGCGAAGAAGAATTAAAAAGAGGTGTTAGCGAAAAAGAATTAAGAGGAGGAGGCGGTGGCGATGAATTAAGAGTAGAAGGTGAAGAAGTTACAGGAGAAGGCACAGAATTTAAAGGAGAAGGCGAAGAATTTAGAAAAGAAGGCGAAGAATTTCGAGAAGAATTTCGAGAAGGAGGCGAAGTTAATTTGAAGGAGAAGGCGAAGAATTTAGAGGAGAAGTCGAAGAATTTAGAGACGAAGGCGAAGAATTTAGAGAAAGCGGCAAAGAATTTAGAGGAGAAAGCGAAGAATTTAGAGGATAAGGCGAAGGTGGAGGGGGTTTAAATGTTTTAAGAGAAGTAGAATTAATGAAGATTTAGAAGAACTAATCAAAACCAGCCTCCCAAAACATGATCACCATTTAAAAAGAATATTTTTATTAAAAATAGAAAATCCCTTACAGGAGTACAAAATGAAAACTAATTTTTGGATATTAGTTTTACGATTTTGACTATCATTATCGATATGCTTAGAACACTCGTAAAAAGCCTTGCAAAAATGTTGAACAGATTGGAAACTAGAAATAACCGAAGCCAAATGTTTGACATAAACTTCTTAAGAAAAAAAAACAAGAAAAATAAACAGGTCGTCTGCTGACAAGAAAGTATTATATGATTTAATTGATCTTCAATGAATATCAACATAAACGGTAAATACATTTTCAATTTGCAGAAAATAATGAAAACGTATGATTTTAGATCCATACCAACCAGCTTTTCCAAAGGAGAATACAGGATCAGATGATCGCAAATTTGAATAACATATATACGGCATTGTAATTGTACTTGTGCCAGCAGACCATAGAGATGAAAAAGAAACGAAAATCTTGCCAAATAACAGGAACTCATTGAACATAAAAATGTGTAAAATGAATGAGCATGCCGTGCTCCAAGTTAATCGAAATTAGAAATCGAGAAAAAATTGATTTACTCTAGACGGTCAGCGAATAAACCGATAAGGATGCTGGATATTTTAAATATTCACACGTACCAGCCTTTATTTGAATGGGTAATGTGGACGATTTAAATACGAGCATTAATGTATCAGGTTCAGCGAGAGTTCAACTTTTGATTAAAAGCCAGTTGTGCGTCCGGTCGTATAGCCTGAGCATGTTCTCAGTTATCAGAAAGGTCAAATATGATTATCACATGAAAATGTGGGAATCAGTAGACATTAAGTCCTACCAGCCATCTCTCATTATGCTTGAATGATTGGTGGGTTTAAAGTTATTCATGTTGTCATGTTGAGGTCCCCCTCATTTTTGGGTATATTATGGAATCTTCTTTCAAAATATTAGTAAAGTCAGTATTCATATGAAACAAATATTTTAGTATTTAGAATTTTTTTTTTCTCCCAAATTGTCTGCACTGCCAACCTGATATCGAAGTCTTAAAGAATTACTTAACAACCGCTACTTTCTCTGAATCTTCTCTGCAAACCTCTGATATTGAACAGATTACGGACATCACTGGATTCCATATTCAGAGACTGCGGCAAGCATGGTCAACAATGGTTATGAGCCCAGTTATTTTAACCGAGATGAAACCAAGTTTGAATTATGGGAAACCAAGTTCTTAGGCTACCTCAGAATACAAAAACTTCATGACATCATTCTTTGCCAAGATGGCAAGAAAGAAGATAATGCTTTTATTGAAAGAAATGCGACCGTGTTCGCTGAATTAATACAATTCCTGGATGACAGGAGTTTGTCTTTGATAATGATAGAAGGCAAGAACAATGGACGAGGAGCTCTACAAATTTTGCGAGAACACTACTTGTCAAAAGGTAAGCCTAAAATTATTGCTTTATATCCTGACCTAACCGCGTTAAAGCGACGAGAAAATGAATCTGTAACAGATTATATTATACGAGCTGAAAATGTCACAAATGCCTTAAAAATTGCGATTAAAAGAGATTTTAAATAGGTGTCAGCATAGGAAATCTTGGTTATTGGAATAGAAGCCCTGTGGGTTTTTTCTATCTTCTTCTGTCACGTGGTCTTATGCTAATTAGTTTTTAGTGGTTTTATCAATAAATGTTGTTTCGTGTCATTTCCTCTTTACCCTGAAGATCCGTTTAGGTGAAACCTAGGTAGGTTGTTCCTGGCTCTTTAGGATTTGCTTTATTTATCCCAGCTCTACTTAGCGTATTGAGCACTATAAGTTTCAGCTTTATAACTCGCTTGGGTTTTTACTTTTGCCTAAAAACTTAAGGCAATGGGCGATTTATTTCGCCCTGTTCGGATGTTTCTAGTTCTTTCTTTTTGTTTCTCCATTGTTTTCCTCGGGACCCATTTTGTTTTGGTATACTTACAAGTTGTGTTATGCGAGTTTTTTTTTTCCAATCGAGTATTACTAACAGTATATATATATATATATATATATATATATATATATATATATGTGTGTGTGTTGTGTTGTGTGTGTGTGTGCGTGTGTATTGTGTGTATTTAGGCAGCATTTTTTCATTCATACATGTTTCATTAAATAATATAGACAAGTGTTTTCTATTTATTTAATGTAAATTTTTTTCATAACGTCTGATAAGCTTAATAAAATTATCATTAAACGAAGAAAGAAAATCACAATATTGATACATATTTTTAATCCAATCTAATGTTTCGGCTTACATAAGCCATTATCAAAGATGACAATTACTGTACAATATATTACGCAATACACGGACAAGAATGTGATGCTAGTCTGTTTTTGTTTACATGGATGATTTCCAAGCAACGATAAACACGTGCATATAAGGCGCTGGAAGCGAAAATCTCAACGTAGCTCATGACGTCACACATCGCCACGCGAGAGTAACTTCGAGAAGTATTAAGTAGGGGAAGCCGTTAGTATAAACCAACATTATAATTGGTAACAGAAGCCATTGGTTTATACTCACGGCTTAGTGAGAGATTTCGAAGTTCCACGGAGCTTGTGATTTAAAGAAGGCAATTTTCAGCCAGACTTTAATTTTAGGCTGGTGACCCAATTTGCCATATGCAGAACCTGGTTTAAAGGTTTGCATGGAGTACGGCATTTAAACTAGATAAATTCTACGTATACCGCAACTAATCCTGATAATTATATGGATACTGGAATCGAGCGATCAGTGAGAATCAAACAATAATTTATTCTGTTATTTCATATTATTTTTAACTCAAAATGTTTATATCTGACATAAAACCAAAATGGCCAACTATCTCTCTCACGAGGCAGA